GAAACCAACAAGAGCCCCTTAACTCCCCTAGGATTTAGCCCCCCTCCACCCCCCGGATTTGAGGACCCCCCCTACGCCTGAAAGCTGCCTCGCGCTCGCGGCCGCCCCGCTCCTCAGGCTCCGGCTCCTGCTCCCAGTCCAAGCGGCGGTCTCGCTCCCCCCGCTCAGGGGGGTCCCCACGTCCCCCCCCGGCTTCAGGCTCCCGCAGCCGCTCACTGGCACTGACAAAGCTGGGGGGGGAGGGGAGCAAAATAAACACAGAGAGTGAGCACAAATATGGGGGTGGGGGTGTACATAAGTATAGGGAACAAAATAAAGGGATGGGAACTCCAAATAAAGGGGTGGGGGCAATAAATGGGGGGTGGCACTCACCTCTCATAGAGTGATTTTCTCTGGGGTCGCCGTGACTGCAGGGGTAGGGGAGGTTACAATGGGATCCCTGCTTTGGGTATCCTGCCCCCCCCTCAATAACCGTGCCTCCCTGCCCCCCCAGTACCTCAGGGGTGTCATCGTCAGCCGAAACGCTGCGCTGGAAGGGCTGGAAGGTGGGGGCCGGACCCTTCTCGGGGTCCTGGGAGGGGTATAAAGAATAAAGAGGCATGGGGAGAGGGGTAATGGGGGGAATTTTGAGTGGGTTTGGGGAATATGGGGGGGGCTGGGTAGGATTAGGTGGAGTTCAGGGGGCATTTGGAAATTCGGGTGGAATTTGGGTGAAAATAAGGAGGATTTGGGGGCAAAATGAAGAAGATTTGGGTGTTTTTGTTGGACTTACGAGGCAATGAGGGGCTTTGTGGGATTTGGGGTGTTCCTGTAAGATTTGGCAGACAATGGGGGGGATTTGTGGAGGATTTGGGGAACTTGTGGTGTTTTTGGGAAGTTTTTTGTGAAATTTTGATTTTTCAGGGCTGTTTCCATAGGATTTGGGGTGAGCTATACAGTTCTGTGTGGGCTCTGGGGGCACTGTGCCTCTGGGGGGTTTTTTGGAGAGGTTCATCTTCACACTCCTCACCTTCAGCTTCCCCTCCAGCGTACGGGAGCGTTTGAAGCCCGAATTCTTGGTCTCGGCCTTGATGGCACTGATGGCACCAGACTTCACCAGCAGCTTGGCTTGCTCAGTGGCCGTGGCAGTGTCCACCGGGGGCTGGTCCGACATGGCTGCAGTGGGGGGACTCAACCTCACCCCTCCCAAAATAAAAACAAACCCCGCCCCCCCAACGCCCTCCCCAGATCCCATCCCCACATTAACCACGCTTCCCCCCACCGCAAACCCCCCGCATCCCCAAGGCCTTGAGGGGCCCCAAGCCTCTCCGATTCCCTCAGGGCCCCCCCCACCCCGACTCACAGCGCTTGATGCCCCCCTGACTGCTGGGCCCGGTGTTACTCTGCTGCTTCTTCAGCGCCAGCAGCGCCTTTTTCTGCGGGGAGACGGCGTTCAGGGGGTGGGAAGGGGGAGCAATGAGGGGCCGTTGGGGGGTCCGGGTGGGTCCAGGCCGACACCTTTTTACGCAGTTTGGCGAAACGCTTCTGTAGGGCTTCCTCCTCCTCCGTCAGCCCCGGCGGCAGCGTCAACATGGCTGGGAATGGGGGATCCGGGGGAGGCTCTCAGAAGGCGCGGGGAGCGTTGGAGGTCCGGGGCAGCCCGGTCTCCCTGACAACGGCTGCAATGCCGCACTTCTTCCGCTCGGCTGCAGCACTTCCGCTCGGCATCCGGAACTTCCGCTCGGCATCCGGAACTTCCGGTCAGCAGCCGGAACTTCCGCTTTGCGCTGAGGGCAGAGGGGAGCGCTTCCGGGTCAGCGCCCGGCGGAGCAGTGGGGATGGAGCTGGAGCGGATCGGTGGGGCTGGGGGCGTTTGTGGGAGGGTCGTGGGGTCTGTAATGTGGGAGGGGCGGATCTGTGGATCCTGTGGGGGTTGTGAGGAGTTGTGGGGCTTGTGGGGCCTATGGAGGGGCCTCTGTGGGGTTTGGAAGGGAGGCAGCGTTCTGTGGAGCTCTGATCCTCTTCTGTATTTTTTCGCCCCTTTCCACCCCTCCAGTGCTGCCGCCCCCCGGGCCCCTGCACCTCCCCCTGGCACTGTTGGAACTGGGCTGTGCCGGGCGCTGCGAACTGCTGCCGGGTCCCGCCCCCCCCCGCAGCACGGTGAGTCCCTGCTGGACACCGTCTGACCCCTACGTAGCCTGTGCCTCCCACCTCCTCTCCCCCCCCCTCCGTTCTCCTCCTGACAGCCCTTCAGGCCCCCTCTGACCTCCCTAAAGAGCGTTGTGAAGCCCCCTCCCAGGGACCCTCCTGACCCCACCCTTGAGCCCCTGACCCCCTCAGATCTCCTCTTACTTCACCCAAGAGACCCCCCTCCCAGACCCTCTAACCCAGGAACCTTCCTGATCCCTTCTCCAGACCCCTTCTAATCTTCCCCCACCAAGGATTCTCTCTGACTCCCCCAGGGGACCCCCAAAGGGGCACCCCCAAACCCCAGGCCCCCTCTTGCTCCTCCCAAAGGATTCTCCCAAGCAACTCTTCCAGTCCCCTTGAATCCCCCTAAAGGACCCTTTCAGATGCCCCACCCACAAGAAAACTCTGCCAAGGGACTCCCCTAGGTACCCTCTGATCCACCCTAAAGGACTCCCTTTCCTCCCTTGGAATCCTCTAAGTGACCCCTCGTGCCCCCACCTCCCCGCCCAGCTCCCCCAGGGCCTCCCGCCCTTCACTCCTCCCCTGACAGCGGAGTTGGAGCAGCGCTTCCTGGGGACCCCCTCCTGGCTGCCCCCCCACCACCATGAACGGGCTCAGAGGTATGGGGGGGGCACTCATAAGGGGAGTTGTTGGAGTGCAGCGCGGATATTTGAGGGGGGGGGGCTCTGAGGATGGGGGGGGAGGCGCTTATAGTGGGGGAACATTGGGGCAAAATACCTGGGGAGCTCCAGACTCGTCAGGAGTTTCTGATTCTTCAGAGGGGCTCTGAGGGGGAAGGCAGACTGTGGGGGGGGGCTCTCCAACTGTTTTTGCCTCCCACCCCCCCAGGCGCTGGACGCGGGTGCCCACCCCCCGGGCACTGTTTGTGTTGGAGCCAACCCCGGTGCACAGCAGCGTGCGGGCGCTGCGGGACCCCGGCACGGGGGCTCTGCAAGGCTTTGTTGAGGTGGGGGAACACTCATTAACTAATTGGGGGCTGGGGGTTGGCATAGTATAGGACCCCCCTCACACTGCCCTTTAACCCCCACATAGGAGCTGCATGAAGATTCGGGGCTCACCTCTTCCCCAGACACCAGCAATGTCCCCCAGTGGGAAGGTGGGCACCCTCAACCCCCCACGCTTTCAATACCCGCTGCCTCCCTTTTTCTGTGACCCCTAAAGCTGACCCTTATGCTCCCCTTTTTGTAACCCTCCCAGGTGGTTTGGAGGAACCCCCCTTGGAGTTGCTCCACACCCAGGGGCCAAATGAAG